AGGTACTGCAAATAGGTACAATGAAAATCTGAAGAAGGCCATGATACTGTCGCTTACCATGCTGCAAGCAGCTACATGTAGAAGGAAAAACAACAAGAAACACGTTGTATCTCATGTACTGGACAAACAGAGCTCTCTTTCCACCTGAAATAATATTCACCAAAATGCCTCATTCTAGCATTCTTTTATTTCCCCCACGTTGCTCAGCGCACGGCTGAAAAGCTCTCAACGGTTCGGTTCCGCCCTGCCACTGTCAAGAGAGAACTCCGGCGCCTAAACACATCGAAAGCTACTGGACCGGATTGCATTCCCGCGCGAGTTCTGAAGATGTGTGCCGACCCCCTAAGTAAGCCACTCTCCAAACTGTTCTCCCTTAGCTTCTACAGCATGGTTATGCCGACATCCTGGAAGACAGCTAGAGTCACACCCATTCACAAGAAGAAATCCAAGAACCTGCCTCAACACTACAGACCTGTGTCTCTGCTGTCTATCATATCCAAAGTGATGGAAACAATTGTCAATCGTCAGATAACCAGTTTCGTGGAGTCCCACAATGTCATCTCTGCGAAACAGTTCGGGTTCAGAAAGGGCCTGAGCACAGCCAACGTCTTAACCAAGCTCCACTGTGAATGGTCCCGAGCAGCCGGCCTAGGAGGAGCCGCCCATGTTTTGGCGATAGACATAGCAGGCGCCTTTGATAAAGTCAGCTATGCTGGCCTGCTGCATAAGGCTTCCGTGTACGGTCTAGACGGCCCGCTTCTCGGATGGCTGGAAAGCTACCTGCACAACCGGCGCCTGCAGGCTGTTGTGGGCGGCCAAGAGTCCTCCCTGCACCATATCCAAGCAGGGGTACCACAAGGTAGCATCCTTGGACCAACGTTATTCCTCCTGTACGTAAATGACTGCGAGGACACCTTGCCTGCTGGTGCTGAGCTTGCCACGTATGCAGATGACACGACACTGTATCAGTGCATCTCTGCCACCGCCAGCATATCCGACTCTGCAGCACAACTCCAGGAAGCAGTGGACGCCGTCTCCCACTGGGGTTCCAAGTGGAAGGTCACCTTCGAGCCATCCAAATCTCAGGCCCTCATCATCGACCACCGCAAGCCTCCCCCAGCGTTCCCACCAGTGCTCTTCAATGGAGTGACTGTTCCTGAAGAGAAGGAAATTAAACTTCTGGGCATAGCATTCGACTCACAACTGTCCTACGCAGCACACCTCCGGGCCGTGGCCTCAAAGGCTGCCCAACGCCTACACTTCCTGAGAAAGGTTGCGCCCCTGTTGGACTCCAGCGGCCGCACGGCAGTCTACAAAGGCTTCGTGCGGCCAACAATGGAATACTGCTGCCTGGTGTGGATGGGGTCAGGTACATCCAGACTGGACAAAATCCAGCACAAGGCACTGAAGGTGATTGGCCCAGGCGCCTGGCTCCCCAGCCTGAAACACCGCCGACTGGTTGCTGCGCTTTCGTTCACGTTCAAGCTGTCTTACCTTCCAACAACAAGCCCCCTGAAGCCCATCCTCCCACCTCCAGCCAATCCCCGCCCAGTGGGTGGTCGATCCACTATGTTAGCCACGGAGACTGCCCACTGCCACCCGCTCCAGCTCAAGTCGACGCTGCCCGTGCGCATTCGTAGCAGCCTCCAGGGTTCCTACCCAGACTGCATTATTCCCTTGTGGAACAGCCTACCAGCGACCATTCTACCAGCACGGCCGCAACCCAGCCAGCTCCAATCATTCAAAGAAAAATGCAACAAGTATCTGCTGCACCTGAACTGGCAAGCAGCCACCGACGCCCTATGAAACGGTTTAGACCAGTGCCTCACTAGCATCCCCCCCCCCCCGCCCCCCCCCCCTTACCACAATGTGACGTTATCTTTCACTCTGCTTCTCTCACGACCATCTACACATTGTCCTTGTTTCTCACTATTATTCATTTCCCCTCTTCCTCCTCTCTACATGGTTTTACTGCATTATGGCGCGCTTTGTCTGCGTAGACGCCGAGACCTTTGAGGTCGGCAGAGCAGCCTGGCCCCGCCACCACTTCTCGCACATATTCGGGAATATAGTGGACTTTCGTATAAAAAAAATAAAATAAAAAAATCCCCTTCAATGTAATTGGGCTCATTGCCCGCGTTTGGCTTTGCGAATTCAAATAAAAAACAACGTAAACTCATGAAACCCCGGAGATGGCCTCCACACTAGTCCACAGCTGATGGGATCCTGCATGCATATCGCGATGCACATCCCCGCCGCGGGCTGGCCATCAATGCCCATCATATCAGCGTGGGGGATCGCGCAAAGTTGTGCAAATATTAATTGCAAAGGGAAGGAGAATCACGCGGCTTGCGGGATCGAGCTCGCCCGGCGCCGGCTCGTTACTGTAAGAATGCGGCATTTAGTTACGGCGCGTACGCGGAGCTCCGTAGGGGTTTCAAGATCATGTAGCGCCATTGACTTACCCAAGTTTGGGTGGATCGATCATGTAGGCGCGCGGTGTCGCGCAGAATCGTGCAAATTCCCGGAAATTCTCGCGGCCTGCGGGATCGACGACGTGTAAGAATGCGGCATTTAGTGAAGGCGGACACGCCGAGGGTTTCACGTTGCGACATTGCCGCTCGGACTGTGCAAATTCCCGGAAGTTCTCGCGGCCTGCGGGATCGACCACGTCCGGTTGGTTACAATTATGTAAGAATGCAGCATTTAGTGACGGCGGACACGCTGAGGGTTTTACGTTGCGACGTTGCCGCTCGGACTGCCGCATGCGCACGGCTTCGCGCGGGGATCCCGCGCGCTGGGTGCGGGATTTTTGGCGATGCGCACGCCGCGCCGATTTGTACGGGCTGCGCCGGGAAGTCCGCTGCGCAATGCGCTGTATAGCGCTATACAATTACTTGCTGGGCAGGGTGCGGGCGTCACCAGTGACTTTCCATGTACAATGCAGATCTACGTCCGCGTATTTTGGGTGGATCAATCGTGGACGTACGGCCGCAGGGCCAGCCATGGGCGCGAGTGCGGTAGACCGGTATGGCGCAATAATCGCGCAAAGGTCCGGAATTCTCGCGGCCTGCGGGATCGAGCTCGTCCGCGGGGTATCATTATGTAAGAAGCCGCCATTTACGACGGGGCTGCACCAGTAGAGGTTTTTCAGAACCGCTCATAGAGCGATTTTATATGGATAATTTCAGTTCTTTTTCCGTTCCCTCCGGCGCCGCGCCGGAAAGAATACTAGGTACGCAGCGCATGAGAGCACGCAGCACGCAGTGCGCAATATGGCGTGAAATCCCGCAGGAGCTCCGGAGCCGCACCCGCCCGGTACGGTGGAATCCTACTTCCTAGCTGATATACAGAAGCCTTGCTTGGTAGTGTTTTTCGATTTTGACAGCAGAGAGTTTTCGCACGGCGTGCAACGTGAAAAGGCCGAACGTGAGGCTATTCACGTGCGTGACGCACTTGAAAAGAGCTTTCGCAGCAGGTGAACATGGTGAACCATTAGAACTTTGCGTAAATCGCACGTGCTGGGCCATCAAGTGCCAACGTGATGAGGCCGCGTTCCACGTTGGCAACGCGCGTTTACCTCGCTTCTGAACGTGGCACGTGACCTTCGAACGCGTCAAGTGAGCGCGTTGAACGCCGTGCGAAAACTCTCTAGCATGTTACAAGGCGCGGACGCGTAGTCAGGAGCACTACGCGTCCTCGCCTTCCTAGCTCATAGTAGTATTAGTACGAGAGCGTGTGCGGGGAAGTCTGCACAGACTCCGTAGATACTACAGTCAGTAGGGATAGGACTCACCCCCAAGTTGAACTTGGGTTTAACCATCACCGAGCAACTGACCTGGGACCACCATATCCACGATGTTACAGCGAAGGTGGACAGGAAAGTGGGAACATTGTGGCGAGCCCGGCGATCCCTTTCCCAGAAGGTTGTTGTTGTTGTGTTTTTTTGAATTCGCAAAACCAAGCGTGCAATAAGCCCAAGTTCAGTGCGTATCGGTATAATGCTTACAAGAATGATCTCTCATATTTTCATAATCATAACATGGGTTTCAAGTGAACATATATTCTTACAAGCAATGTTATCGCATAGTAGAATATATCGGTGGACTTTTGGTAGTTTTATTATCCCAAATGCCAAAGCGCGGGAAAATTCAAATGCAAACAGCTGCATTTTGGAGACGTATTTTTTATCGACCGTCGGGCAGTCAATGCCAATTTTCTCAAGAAGAAGAGTATTCAGAGGCATTCTTGTACATTTTCCGTTGATACTATACGTGTGCCCTAGTGTTTGCATGAGCGAGGGTGGTGGTTTTGCTAAACCGTTCGCATGGCGGGCGGGTTTGTAAGAAGAAAGGCTTCAGCCATTGACGAGCGACGAGAAATCTGTCATTTCGTGCCATTTGAGTTAGCAGTAGCACCGGACAATACTGACACATGTCTGCGGCAGCAAACATAGTGTACTAACGGATCAAAAACAGCCACAATGTGTGTCACTGCAGAAACAGGCTGTAGAGGTGCATTTGCAAAGCTGCTGCACTGATTTTCGTCGTCTTTCCATGCACAGGGTACGTATCATGCCCTTGGCATAGGCCAAAGCACGAAAGCTTTAGCTGGACACCACCCACAATCTCCACGTGGGTCCCAGTGTACCCGCTGCGCTGCCGATGAGAACCGCCCTGTAAGCGGTTTTCCCACCCATGTGTCCTCAATATGACTGAGAATACCGGTGCTAGTACAGTCAAACCTCTTTAGGACGAAAACCAAGGGACCGGCGGTATTTATTTGCAATAACGGGAGTTCTTCTTATCCATATGTTTTACCCAGTGAATACACAGTGATGAATCCAATAGTGCTTGAATGCATTGGAAACCTGTACAGTTGACTCCAATTTAGACCAGAATGACTGTATTTGTTGGAAATGCATTGCACCAAGAGCAGGAACAGAATGTAGCACAAAAGATAATCCCAAACCAGCGAAAAAAAAAAAGAGCGCGGGAAGAGAAGCACTGTGGCTGGTGTAGGAAGCAAATATTAGGCTAAAGGGGAAATACCAAATTATGTGGTGGTCAAGCATCTCCTCTGAGTCGATAAAGGGATAAGAAGGAGAGAGGCCGACTAATTTTGTCAAAACTTGTCACTCCACACAGCTGGTGATTGTTGAGGAAGGTAGTTACAGCACTGACCGACACCACTGCTGTGGGTAATGATTACGTACATCGATCATTGTGCAGCACCTGGCAGCAATAAACCAGACAAAGCAGTACAATACCATGCAGAAGATGAAATGCTTGACGGAGTAGCAGACAAACTGTTACACAATGGAGCAACATGATTTGCCATATGGCATAAATATATTATTACTTTGACGAATACTCGACACATGACATTCCCGCTACAAACATTACCAAATCTACCGTCCCTGATGCAGGAGGGACTATTTGCATGCATACATTCCAATTGTATAAAAGCTAAGAAAGGTGGCATCACGCTCACGTGAGCCGGTTGGGTACCACCCAAGCTCTGACCAGGCTCTGTCCAGGTGCCTACACACAACCCTGGGGGACGAATGCAACCCCAAAACATGATGCAGTAAAGGCCACGTCCATGGACACTGCAGGCAAATTTACAGTGGAGGAGAGAACCAGAGTACAAGAAACTAAGAATAAAGAACTTGTCGTCTGTTTGTCCGACTATCCACCCCAAGCTGTGGTCATGAGGGTGGACAATATTGTATGGTTGCAATTCCATCTCGCTCTCCTTTTCTCCTCTGGAATGAAGCTTCACACACATACCTGTAGTACCTGTGGTGTCTACAAGTTGTATAAACAGTCCTTCACTTACTCCACTGCTTTCTATAAAAGCCTGCCTTATGCAGAAGCCTGTTCTGAACACAAGCCTGAGTTCCAAGATAGGCAATTGGCACTATAGTGTGGATGTTGTATTGGCAACCATAAAAAGCTTGGTTTGACTACATAATGTAAATAGAGGCCTAGCCACCACACTGGCTTCTACAGACATGCGCCTGGCTTTCATACTCGACATTACAGTAAGTCATCCAGTTCGCACTTACCCACTCCAGTTGGTGCTTGCAGACGTGTTAGACACATACAGCCAGTCAAGTATGCTTGCAGGGATCTTTTCTCAATGGGGAGTAGCAGCTGGCCATAATACCTACAATTCATACAGAATGACAATGGTGAAGATAGCAAAAGGGAAGGGCATTCAAGACCTGCAGCTCCATGTACACATGCCGAGTGTGAGCGTGGTGTCTGTGGACAAAATCGACAAAGAGGTACCCTGGCAACAAATGTAGTGCCAGGATGGCAGCAGAAGGCTACATGGCACACCAGTCCAACATGTAAATCAACTACCATCCAGTGGTCACATTAGCCCAATTGATGCAAATGCCACAGTTGAAGTTTCACGGCCATTTGCCTGCCACATGCCAATCACAACAAGCACTGAGGAAAAAACTGAGACGAAGCGACGTCGAAGCAAAACACTAGGGACCTTTCGCACCCCGCGTACGGATACGAAACGAATGCTGATTCGTCACCTGGGTTCGAGGATTCGTCAGAGTCCCTGCGGAGAACTCGTTTTCGCGAATGGAAGCCTCTTCATTCGTGGCACGCTCCGAATCCGTCAGGTACACATTTATTTGGATAGGTACACATGTTTTGCAAGGTACACATTTTTCCCTTGATTCCAGGATCCATGCACGTGTGCGTGTAAAAACCCGTACGCCAAGCTACCGGCGCCCGCGGCCGTATTCGTAGTTGCCATGCACATTTGCATGACGACTTGCGAAACCTGAAATCTGTTTTCAACGAAACGATTACGAGCCGAATCAAACTTTCGTTTCGCATTCGTTTCGTAGCAAATGCGAAAGGTCCCTACTAACACGGACAGACGGGTTCCACACACAGTGAAACCTCAGTATGAAGTAGTACCAAGAGTCCATGACGTCACTTTTTTTCTAAATACCGAGTGGTAGGCAAATTGAGCGCTCTGACATGGACAGGCCAGCTGTCCATTTCCAGTGTCCAAAGACTGTGAAGCATCTGGACGTAGCAAAGGCAATTCAAGCCTGCAGTCTCTCGCTTGGAGATGTCCTGCAGATCGACCTGCACGGCCGGCCCGGGTCTTGTGTTCTGACCCTGCGTGATTTCGCCACCAGGGACAAGCTCGTCGCAGCAAATCTGCAGTTGGAGGGTAAGAGCATTGACGTGCTACCGGGAGATGGCACAGTATCCGCTACCCGTGTTTACATTTATGGTTGCGAACCCGCATTGCATCTGGGCCACATAGAGTCGGCTTTGGGGGAATTTGGCGAAATTGTCGGCAATATTGATTGCGAATTTGTCACCGTTGAGAAATTCAAAATTCTCACGGGGGTACGACGGGTGCTAATGATCCTGAAGAAAGGTGTACCCTGCAAGCTAAGCATTCAGAAAAGGTCGTACCGTACACATCACCGCGACCAGATACAGACGTGCTTTCGCTGTGGTGTATCTGGCCACCAAGCACGTGACTGTCCTGCACGCCCAAATGCTGCACGTACACGTACGCATCACACTTCGTACTCCACTGTCGTACAGGGCCAGGCTGCGGACCGTATGGCGGATGACAGTCCGGATGTACTCGTTCATGTACCGGTACAAGAACCCACTGGCGCTGAACCAAATCCAGGAGCTGCGATAGCAGGCGAAGCAACAGATAGCAACTGCCCATGTCCACCAAAAGGTTCAACCACACTAGAGGGCTCGAACCAACAACAACAGCAGCAGCACTGCGACAAGCGACCACCAAAGGTCTCTAAGATACCTGTACGGCAGGCAGCTTATTCTGTACCAGTCGCCACGCCAACAACCCTGCCAGCAGAAGAGGCTACACGTGGAGTGCCGGCATTTCCGCTCTCTCGTGGGAAGGGGTGTCACTCTTCACCTGATGACGAAGGATTCATCCGCGCATCAGGCAAGCACACATTCAGCGCAAGAGTCCTGGCATTCGACCCCCAAGTCGCATGGGCAAATGAGGCATCTGCAAAAGAGATGCACCGCCTTGCCCAACGTGTGAGGAGTCGGCGAGGAAGCCAATAACCGGTAAACTTCTGCTTGTAATCTCGATTCTATGCTAGTCCTCGTCATGATTGTTCTTTTTCTTACTAATTACTACTTTTCACTGCTATATCGTCTTTAAATCCACACGCTCAGGTATTCTCTCCACGAGCTGCCACCATCAGTTTTCCGGTGAGCACCCAGGATACCCGAACGCTTAAACTAGGTTTTTTGAATGTCTGTAGCTTGCGCTACAAAGTAGATGAAGTAACGGCACTCCTCCGGGTGCAGGACTTTGATATTTTTGCATTGGCCGAAACCTGGCTGGATAGCACTATTGGTGACGGAGAAGTAGCTATTCCTGGATACAGCCTCACAAGGACCGATCGCAGCGGCAGGCGAGGTGGCGGCACGTGTATCTATTACAAATCCACCCTGCCAATCAAACCACGCCCAGATCTAAGCGTAAGCGGCTTAGAGCTGGTGTGGGTTGACGTACAGATACATCGACAGCATCACCGTGTCGGCTGCGCCTACAGGCCCCCTGACACATCCGTGGAGTTTTGGACTGATTTAGAAAGTGCCATGCATAGTGCTGGCTCTTCAGCCACGTCTTTAACGGTGTTGGGGGATTTCAATGTGGACTTGTCCGCTAATCACCCCAATCATCAGCGAACCCATCTACAGAGCCTGTGCTGCACGTTCGACTTAACCAACTGCGTGGATGCAGTGACGCGCATCACTCCAAGTACGCCGAAAGGCACCCTTATTGACCTTGTCCTCACGGACAGGAAGATGGTATCCAGCTGCAGGGTGATACCTTGTCTGATCAGTGATCACAGCGCTGTGCTCGCCAACCTGAACATTTCAGTTCCTCGTGCAGAGACTCAATCGAAGCAGGCCAGGCGGATTCGGAATATAAGTATCCCTGAGTTCAGAATCGCTCTGGAGCAAGAACTTCAGCATTTCCCTTCCCTTCCACAGTCGTCAAGCGTGGATGATACGTGGCATGATTGGCACTCGCGCTTTATGACTGTCCTGGACAGGTATGCTCCAATGAAGACTATACCACCGCGCCGCAAGCCTCTACCTCCATGGTCCGACCGTGAGACGTATCAACTCATCAGGACACGGAATAGGCTGCACACGCGCTGGCTCCGGAACCCCGAAGATATGGCACTTCACAGTGCATTCAAACTGGCTCGGACGCAGGCATCTAACGCGATTCGGCGCAAACGAAACTCGTATTTTCATCAGACATGTCAATCTGCATCTGCAAACCCTCGTAAGCTCTGGCAGCTCATCAACAGCCTTACAGGCCGTACCCGAGCACAACCGGATCCTACATGCGACGTTGAAGAGGTCGGCAATACGTTCCATCAAGTTGTGACCGACGCCAATAGACCTCCCATATTGGCAGAACCTCAGGGGCCATTGAGAGGGGAAGTCCTTTCGGATTTTCGAGGGACTGATGCAGGTTCCGTTTACGAACTGCTCCGTAAAGTCGACGCCAGAAAAGCAACCGGTAGTGACGGGGTCCCAGGATCGTTGCTGCTCGCCACTGCCGACATCATCGCACCAAGCCTCACCCAACTTTTCAACATGTCCCTGAAATCGGGTATCGTTCCTCGGGCCTTCAAGCTAGCAGAGGTTCGCCCCCTCTTCAAATCGGGAGATCCTGCTTCCCCTGGGAATTATAGACCAGTATCTCTACTACCCATTATTTCGAAAATCCTCGAGCGGATTGTACAAAACCAGTTACAAGGTCAGCTTTCCCGTGTTCATGCGCTGCCTGACACGCAGTTTGCGTACCGGCATGGCTACTCAACAGAAGATGCATTGGTTGTCCTGACGGACACGCTCCTGGAGGCCCGCGATCGACGCCAGGTATCGGGAGTGTGCTTTCTCGATCTCTCCAAGGCATTTGACAAAGTCATTCATGAGCGTCTCATTCAGGACCTGTTTGCTTTAGGAGTGACAGGCAGACCCCTTCGCTGGCTCATCAGCTACCTCAGTGAGCGGACACAGCGAGTTTGTTTCGGGGCCAGCAGCAGCACAATCACCTCTTGCAGCTGCGGTGTGCCCCAGGGATCGGTGCTCGGCCCGTTGCTCTTTAACGTGTACACAAGAGATGTTCCTCAAGTAGCCCAATCCGCAGCCACGATCCAGTTCGCCGATGACGTCGCAGTATATTGTAGCGCTGACACGACTCAGGCTGTTGCCAGTACGCTCTCCACCGCAGTCTCCTCCTTGGCTGCATGGCTGGAAGAGCGAGGACTGATTCTGAATGAGAAGAAGAGTCAAGTTCTCACAGTCTTTCCCGGTAGAGACGCTGGACCCCGGGTCACAGTCCTCTGTCGCAGCCAACCTCTGCCGACAGTCACCAGCGCGAAGTACCTTGGCGTCATCATTGACGAGGGGCTGAACTTTCAGCAACACCTGAAAGCCATTACAGCAAAGGTGTCCCGCAAAGTAGGTGCCCTCTGGCGGACTCGGAGATGCTTGAGCCTGGCGGCCCGAGTCACCTACTTGAAGTCCGTGGTGATGCCGGATCTGACCTACGCATCAAGTTGTTTCTTGTTCTGTCTAACTGCCCAGCAAGCAACGGATCTCCAGACGCTGGAGAACAAAGCGGTTCGCGCAGTTTTTGGCGCTCGGCCATACGACTCTGCTCAACCTCTGCTCCAACGGGTGGAACTCTACCGAATCTCAGAGTTGCACAAGCAAAAGGCGCTATTGCTCACCTGGCGATGCATCCACGGCATTGCGGGGAACCGGCTCTGTGGACTGATTTCAAGGTCACCAGATCGGCGTACCCGCTTGCAGAAGGACATCGGAGCGCACATACCACCCGCCGCAAGCCGCGCTGGTCAGGCTAGGTTCTCTGTTGCCGCTCCCAAGCTGTGGAACGCACTACCCAGCGACATCCGCACCATCCCCCAACGCAGTGTGTTCAAGATGTCAGTCATCCCACATACGCTCGCTCCATGAAACGTATCACCCATTATTCCAGTCACTGTTGCTGTCGCATCCACTCGTATGTCGCATCCACTCGTAGTCCACGTCCACTGATGCCGACCGAGGTAGCTCTCTTGCTACTGTGTAATAGTGACATGTACCCAGCTAATGTCTCTGCTTCGTTCAGGGAATTCAGAATAGGAAGTCTGCTGTACCACCCGCTCTTTTCTTTTTACTTTTAAAAGCGATTATTTGTAACATGGAAATTTGTTCCTTGGCTCACCATCTGAGTTCTTAAAGCTATTATTCATTTTCTGCTGCCCCCGGTTATTTCTTTTATTAGTATTATTTTCTTTGCCTTCGCTTTCTTGTTATTGGGCAACTTGCCCGTTAGAATCTGCGAAGTAAAATAAACAACAACAACAACGTCAAGAGTATGCGACTGCACGTGGATTCTGGCACTGCGCTAGGCCCACATTATATCCACGAACTGGGGAATACGCCCATAGTTCGCAAATCAGAGTTGCACACTTGTGGGTTGTGAGGCCGGGTTATGCGGACAGTCTGGATATACATGTAACGTACTACGGGATATAAAGTACTTGTACTATTATGCAGAACCTTGCACCATGCAATACGCTATATCGTTACAGACCAATTTGAAAGGTATTGGAGGTTTGCTATACAGTGTACTGAAGTTCCACTGCAATGCTGACTTGCCAATACATGTACATGTAGTGGAACATGAAGCTGTACAACCAGTTGACGTGTATTTGTGACGAAATCACACTACGACTGCAAGACTCAAAATGTACAACAAACATGTAATTTAGTGGGGATCTTTCACCGAGGAGTCAGGCGATGGCGGTGCCGTACAACCTACAAGTGGAGTTCATCTGCACTGGAATTGTTGTCCTGGGACTATCGCTTTTATTTAAGCAACAAAATGTACGATCAACTACCCACCTCTTCAAGGTACGGATGGTCAAGAACCAATGACTTAGTCATGGTGTGGGGCTCTGACAAACATCTTGCAGCAGTCAGAAAGCATGTCACAGGCCTGACAAAAGGCTGTCGGTGCAAGTTCGGCTGCAGGACCACATAATGCGAGTGCAAAAAGGCAAATCTGTTATGCAGGCCAGGGCTAAAATGCCAGACTTTCAACAACACCTCCGCGAGGGAAGAATGCGACAGTTCCAGTAAGCAAAAGGTTGTTTCATTTGAGGAGACTGAAAAGTAAGGGTGAAAGTTGGCATTGAGATCCCGAGTTCGAGTACTCTGATTTTCTCCGATCGAATATTCGAGTATTCGAGGATTTTTCATCTCCTAAAAATTGCACACCGTGCGCCTTAAAATCACATGATACAACCCTGATTAAACCGAGTGGCAGTAATTTTTCTCTGGTATATTGGTTGCTGGGTCATTTGGGCTCTCTACTCGTGAACAAATGTTCACCACACAGTCTGCACATCAATATCTGCCGAGATGAAAAATCCACAAACAGTCTACCGTCTTTCTGACATTGCCACTCGGACTTGACAATAGAAGCAGCTTTCCGTATGTGCAGTTACATTGAGCCATGGTGTTTTATCGTATTTTATGAATCCTTCCCGGAAGCAAATGCTGGTTTTTATACATTCGTGTAATTACTCAGCGCTATTTGCAATAATAATAAGAAGAAGAATGGACTTTCTGTAGCAAAACATACCAGATTAGTACAAAGCAGGGAGTAGTAAAATACAGGGAGGTGACACGCCACTAATCGTGATTTTTGATGGGTGCCTCGCGCTTGTTTTTTTTTCTTTCGCAAAAAAAGATGATCTGCTGAATCAATCTCGAGTATTTGTCGAAGAACTAATTCCGTGAAAAGGTCTATCCATCTCATGGAACAGCATTTGTTTTGCTCTTGTGATACATCTGTGTCATCGTCATATGGAAAGGTACCACCCTTCCGAAAATCGTCCCGATCGACGGCATGGAGCAATAGAAGGAAGGTGATTTCCTTGAGAACAATACGTGTACGATTGGAGATGAAAAGCGAGTGCACAGATTTTGAAGTCGAAAAAATCTCTAGGACACCACACGATCGCCCCTAGTTTCTCCTCAGTTGTGATCAACCAGTACTTCTCTACCTTCTTTGTAATGATGAGCATTTCATATTATGGTATGCTAGAGATTCGGGAGTTCACTTTTCGGAATGAAATGTTCCTAAGTTTGTCAAGGATTGAAATGCGGGCTACGTCGTCGTAAACAGCTTGTATCGACACAGGAAAAATCTACGGCACGCAGGGATATCTCGCAAAGTGATACCACTCTTGCTGGACTTCTATCCTGACATAGTGGTAGTTTGGTCGACTACCAAACTTTGTGAAGGCAGACAATTGTTGGAAATTCTCAGCGCTGAGTTTCTACGGGCTGCAGTAGGAGTCTCTTTGGCGGTAGGTATTTTACTACTCCCTGATCGAGAGAATCCTGATCCGCGCGCGTGTCTACACACTTCGGTACCCATAGTACCCCAATCTCACCCGCCGGGTGAAAACGGTGCTGAGGCAATCGTCAAACTGGCCGTACATGCTCGTGTCACCTCCCTGTATTTTACTACTCCCTGGTACAAAGTGTAGTGCTAACATCCTTTCAATGCAGTTCTGATCCGACTCGCATCGCACGGCAGTGCTGCAGGTTCAACTGTTGTTTTCATGTACACTGTACCTCATGCTGCATAGCCACATGGTAAGCGTAGACTCTATGGAACTATGCACACCGACATGCACAGCAGCGATACGTTGTATGACTGTATGATGGCCATCCTGTATCTGTACACATGCATCTGAGATGTCACACTTGATTTATCGTGTGTAAGAAATATCGGAAATAAGAACAGAAAAAAATTATTCAGGATCTCGAGAAATCGAGCTGTGAAGTCAACTTCTTGCTCACACCAGCGATGCTTTTGAAAACATGCTCTGATACCCACGCTATAACCGATACCTACTGTAGATCTTCATGGAAGCGAATAAAAGAATGCTAAGAATGAGGCATTTTGGTGAATATTATTTCAAGGAAATACTGATCCCGGGAAGTACTACAAATAGGTACTGTACAATGAAAATCTGAAGAAGGCCATACTGTCGTTTACCATGCTGCAAGCAGCTACATGTAGAAGGAAAAACAACAAGAAAGACGTTGTATCTCATGTACTGGACAAATAGAGCTCTCTTTCCACCTGAAATAATATTCACCAAAATGCCTCATTCTAGCATTCTTTTATTCGCTTCCATGTACATGTAACGGGCTTATTGCCCGTTTGGTTTTGCGAATTCAAATAAAAAACAACATAAACTCATGAAACCCCGGAGATGGCCTCCACAGCTGATGGGATCCTGCATGCATATCGCGATGCACATCCCCGCCGCGGGCTGGCCATCAATGCCCATCATATCAGCGTGGGGGATCGCGCAAAGTTGTGCAAATATTAATTGCAAAGGGAAGGAGAATCACGCGGCTTGCGGGATCGAGCTCGCCCGGCGCCGGCTCGTTACTGTAAGAATGCGGCATTTAGTTACGGCGCGTACGCGGAGCTCCGTAGGGGTTTCAAGATCATGTAGCGCCATTGACTTACCCAAGTTTGGGTGGATCGATCATGTAGGCGCGCGGTGTCGCGCAGAATCGTGCAAATTCCCGGAATTCTCGCGGCCTGCGGGATCGACGACGTGTAAGAATGCGGCATTTAGTGAAGGCGGACACGCTGAGGGTTTCACGTTGCGACGTTGCCGCTCGGACTGTGCAAATTCCCGGAAGTTCTCGCGGCCTGCGGGATCGACCACGTCTGGTTGGTTACAATTATGTAAGAATGCAGCATTTAGTGACGGCGGACACGCTGAGGGTTTCACGTTGCGACGTTGCCGCTCGGACTGCCGCATGCGCACGGCTTCGCGCGGGGATCCCGCGCGCTGGGTGCGGGATTTTTGGCGATGCGCACGCCGCGCCGATTTGTACGGGCTGCGCCGGGAAGTCCGCTGCGCAATGCGCTGTATAGCGCTATACAATTACTTGCTGGGCAGGATGCGGGCGTCACCAGTGACTTTCCATGTACAATGCAGATCTACGTCCGCGTATTTTGGGTGGATCAATCGTGGACGTACGGCCGCAGGGCCAGCCATGGGCGCGAGTGCGGTAGACCGGTATGGCGCAATAATCGCGCAAAGGTCCGGAATTCTCGCGGCCTGCGGGATCGAGCTCGTCCGCGGGGTACCATTATGTAAGAAGCCGCCATTTACGACGGGGCTGCACCAGTAGAGGTTTTTCAGAACCGCTCATAGAGCGATTTTATATGGATAATTTCAGTTCTTTTTCCGTTCCCTCCGGCGCCGCGCCGGAAAGAATACTAGGTACGCAGCGCATGAGAGCACGCAGCACGCAGTGCGCAATATGGCGTGAAATCCCGCAGGAGCTCCGGAGCCGCACCCGCCCGGTACGGTGGAATCCTACTTCCTAGCTGATATACAGAAGCCTTGCTTGGTAGTGTTTTTCGATTTTGACAGCATGTTACAAGGCGCGGACGCGTAGTCAGGAGCACTACGCGTCCTCGCCTTCCTAGCTCATAGTAGTATTAGTACGAGAGCGTGTGCGGGGAAGTCTGCACAGACTCCGTAGATACTACAGTCAGTAGGGATAGGACCGTCACCCCCAAGTTGAACTTGGGTTTAACCATCACCGAGCAACTGACCTGGGACCACCATATCCACGATGTTACAGCGAAGGTGGACAGGAAAGTGGGAACATTGTGGCGAGCCCGGCGATCCCTTTCCCAGAAGGTTGTTGTTGTTGTTGTTGTGTTTTTTTGAATTCGCAAAACCAAACGTGCAATAAGCCCAAGTTCAGTGCGTATCGGTATAATGCTTACAAGAATGATCTCTCATATTTTCATAATCATAACATGGGTTTCAAGTGAACATATATTCTTACAAGCAATGTTATCGCATAGTAGAATATATCGGTGGACTTTTGGTAGTTTTATTATCCCAAATGCCAAAGCGCGGGAAAATTCAAATGCAAACAGCTGCATTTTGGAGACGTATTTTTTATCGACCGTCGGGCAGTCAATGCCAATTTTCTCAAGAAGAAGAGTATTCAGAGGCATTCTTGTACATTTTCCGTTGATACTATACGTGTGCCCTAGTGTTTGCATGAGCGAAGGTGGTGGTTTTGCTAAACCGTTCGCATGGCGGGCGGGTTTGTAAGAAGAAAGGCTTCAGCCATTGACGAGCGACGAGAAATCTGTCATTTCGTGCCATTTGAGTTAGCAGTAGCACCGGACAATACTGACACATGTCTGCGGCAGCAAACATAGTGTACTAACGGATCAAAAACAGCCACAATGTGTGTCACTGCGGAAACAGGCTGTAGAGGTGCATTTGCAAAGCTGCTGCACTGATTTTCGTCGTCTTTCCATGCACAGGGTACGTATCATGCCCTTGGCATAGGCCAAAGCACGAAAGCTTTAGCTGGACACCACCCACAATCTCCACGTGGGTCCCAGTGTACCCGCTGCGCTGCCGATGAGAACCGCCCTGTAAGCGGTTTTCCCACCCATGTGTCCTCAATATGACTGAGAATACCGGTGCTAGTACAGTCAAACCTCTTTAGGACGAAAACCAAGGGACCGGCGGTATTTATTTGCAATAACGGGAGTTCTTCTTATCCATATGTTTTACCCAGTGAATACACAGTGATGAATCCAATAGTGCTTGAATGCATTGGAAACCTGTACAGTTGACTCCAATTTAGACCAGAATGACTGTATTTGTTGGAAATGCATTGCACCAAGAGCAGGAACAGAATGTAGCACAAAAGATAATCCCAAACCAGCGAAAAAAAAAGAGCGCGGGAAGAGAAGCACTGTGGCTGGTGTAGGAAGCAAATATTAGGCTAAAGGGGAAATACCAAATTATGTGGTGGTCAAGCATCTCCTCTGAGTCGATAAAGGGATAAGAAGGAGAGAGGCCGACTAATTTTGTCAAAACTTGTCACTCCACACAGCTGGTGATTGTTGAGGAAGGTAGTTACAGCACTGACCGACACCACTGCTGTGGGTAACGATTACGTGCATCGATCATTGTGCAGCACCTGGCAGCAATAAACCAGACAAAGCAGTACAATACCATGCAGAAGATGAAATGCTTGATGGAGTAGCAGACAAACTGTTACACAATGGAGCAACATGATTTGCCATATGGCATAAATATATTATTACTTTGACGAATACTCGACACATGACATTCCCGCTACAAACATTACCAAATCTACCGTCCCTGATGCAGGAGGGACTATTTGCATGCATACATTCCAATTGTATAAAAGCTAAGAAAGGTGGCATCACGCTCACGTGAGCCGGTTGGGTACCACCCAAGCTCTGACCAGGCTCTGTCCAGGTGCCTACACACAACCCTGGAGGACGAATGCAACCCCAAAACATGATGCAGTAAAGGCCACGTCCATGGACACTGCAGGCAAATTTACAGTGGAGGAGAGAACCAGAGTACCGAGAAACTAAGAATAAAGAACTTGTCGTCTGTTTGTCCGACTATCCACCCCAAGCTGTGGTCATGAGGGTGGACAATATTGTATGGTTGCAATTCCACCTCGCTCTCCTTTTCTCCTCTGGAATGAAGCTTCACACACATACCTGTAGTACCTGTGGTGTCCACAGGCAGTATAAACAGTCCTTCACTTACTCCACTGCTTTCTATAAAAGCCTGTCTTATGCAGAAGTCTGTTCTGAACACAAGCCTGAGTTCCAAGATAGGCAATTGGCACTATAGTGTGGATGTTGCATCGGCAACCATAAAAAGCTTGGTTTGACTACATAATGTAAATAGAGGCCTAGCCACCACACTGGCTTCTACAGAAATGCGCCTGGCTTTCATACACGACATTACAGTAAGTCATCCAGTTCGCACTTACCCACTCCAGTTGGTGCTTGCAGATGTGTTAGACACATACAGCCAGTCAAGTATGCTTGCAGGGATCTTTTCTCAATGGGGAGTAGCAGCTGGCCATAATACCTACAATTCATACAGAATGACAATGGTGAAGATAGCAAAAGGGAAGGGCATTCAAGACCTGCAGCTCCATGTACACATGCCGAGTGTGAGCGTGGTGTCTGTGGACAAAATCGACAAAGAGGTACCCTGGCAACAAATGTAGTGCCAGGATGGCAGCAGAAGGCTACATGGCACATCAGTCCAACATGTAAATCAACTACCATCCAGTGGTCACAGTAGCCCAATTGATGCAAATGCCACAGTTGAAGTTTCACGGCCATTTGCCTGCCACATGCCAATCACAAGCACTGAGGAAAAAACTGAGACGAAGCGACGTCGAAGCAAAACACTAACACGGACAGACGGGTTCCACACACAGTGAAACTTCAGTATGAAGTAGTACCAAGAGTCCATGACGTCAAGAGTATGCGACTGCACGTGGATTCTGGCACTGCGCGAGGCCCACATTATATATCCACGAACTGGGGAATACGCCCATAGTTCGCAAATCAGAGTTGCACACTTGTGGGTTGTGAGGCCGGGTTATGCGGACACCTGACAGTATGGATATACATGTAACATACTACTGGATATAAAGTACTTGTACTATTATGCAGAACCTTGCACCATGCAATACGCTATATCGTTACAGACCAATTTGAAAGGTATTGGAGGTTTGCTATACAGTGTACTGAAGTTCCACTGCAATGCTGACTTGCCAATACATGTACATGTAGTGGAACATGAAGCTGTACAACCAGTTGACGTGTATTTGTGACGAAATCACACTACGACTGCAAGACTCAAAATGTACAACAAACATGTAATTTAATGGGGATCTTTCACCGAGGAGTCAGGCGATGGCGGTGCCGTACAACCTACAAGTGGAGTTCATCTGCACTGGAATTGTTGTCCTGGGACTATCGCTTTTATTTAAGCAACAAAATGTACGATCAACTACCCACCTCTTCAAGGTACGGATGGTCAAGAACCAATGACTTAGTCATGGTGTGGGGCTCTGACAAACATCTTGCAGCAGTCAGAAAGCATGTCACAGGCCTGACAAAAGGCTGTCGGTGCAAGTTCGGCTGCAGGACCACATAATGCGAGTGCAAAAAGGCAAATCTGTTATGCAGGCCAGGGCTAAAATGCCAGACTTTCAACAACACCTCCGCGAGGGAAGAATGCGACAGTTCCAGTAAGCAAAAGGTTGTTTCATTTGAGGAGACTGAAAAGTAGGGGTGAAAGTTGGCATTGAGATCCCGAGTTCGAGTACTCTGATTTTCTCCGATCGAATATTCGAGTATTCGAGGATTTTTCATCTCCTAAAAATTGCACACCGTGCGCCTTAAAATCACATGATACAACCCTGATTGAACCGAGTGGCAGTAATTTTCTCTGGTATATTGGTTGCTGGGTCATTTGGGCTCTCTACTCGTGAACAAATGTTCACCACACAGTCTGCACATCAATATCTGCCGACTGCTGCTCTAAAACTGCAGATTTCTGTGGTAAATGCATGTACCGTATGACCGAGTACTCTGATTTATTCCGAGTACGATTATTTCTGAAAAAACCGAGCGAGTACTCGACTATTCGGTATAATTGTTTCACCCCTACTGAAAAGCAAGAAACCAGCAACGAATTGGACCAAGATTGAGTCAATGTGCACACAGGTGATGCGTGCGTGTTATTGCTTACTGGAATTATGGCGTATATGCTAGAAATAGAGAGGGCCCAAATATGCCCAAAAATTTCGCATATTATGCTTTTCGCATATTGGCCACTTGCTTAGAAATATGCTTCGAAATCACACAAAAGCAGAAAAATATGCTCGAAATATGAACTGATATCAGTGATAATTATGCGAATTCTTTGCTCCTTGTAGCAAAATATGCTACATTTGGTACAATATGCTACATTTGCTACTTTATGCGACCTTGAGTCGCGGACACTCTCTTCTTGGGTCAAATTTTCGCCCCGTGTTTGGATGAGCATTTTTCCTTCCGGGCTAAGTTTGGAAGTGTTCCCTGACCGAGCGT